GCACTTAACATGCAGTATAAGTCAACACACAAACAAACAAACAGATGCACACACTATTCAAATAAACACGCAGACGCCAAGGGATGGGTGGAAAGCTAAAGAACACAGGCAGAAGGAGAGCATCACTCAGAGAGCCATTAACCCCTGGCTTCCAACCAGAACAGTGAGCAGGCATCCTTTAAGTACATGTTAAACATAGCTAGTCTCTGTGTGTGTGCACAAGTGATTTATGTATTACTGCTCTGTGTCCAAGTGTATCTATGCAGTTACAAGAAAAGGCTCATGAACCCTGTGTAATTACCAGGATTTCTGCATTGATTACTCATAAAATGTGATCTGAGCTTCAGCTAAGAGACAGTTATGTACAAACACATTCTCAGCAAACAGCTATACTATTCATTTCTTTATTCAAACGAGGAGTAATAATTCACAGTCCCGGCTAGACACTTTAAAACCCGCCAAAAATCTATGTTCACTGTGTTTTTATTTAACCCCCCCCAAAAAAACTGCAAGTTTTTGTTTTGTTTGGGTTTTTTTTTTTAGAGCAGCACAGACCACCCAGATACTCCACAGTACTCATGGGACAATGTACTGGTGTGACAAACATTAATCTGCTTTGAAAAAATAAAAATGCACCAAACTATTTCCGCACGTTGGAAGGAGCATCGAGTTTTATCTCTTTGTTACCTTGGAGTCTAAACCTTTTGCAATCACTGAGGGAAAAATGAATTCAAAACTGAATCACAAAAGTTTTAGAGGAGAACGTCAGGGCAGCAGCCAGGTTGGTAAACGCAACACGACAACGATGAACCAAAGCACACAAGCCAAGAAAAAAGAAAACGTGGTTAAACCTGAAGGGGGGGGTGGTCTGAGGAAGAATTCCTAGAAATGTTGATGAACTGAAACAGTTTTAGAGGGAGGAACGGTGCAAAATACGCTTGTGCTACAGGAAATTCCTGACAGAGGCTCCTAAGTGAGGTGTTACATGCTATTATGTTCAAAAGGTTTACTTACTTTTTATAACCCACACACTAAGTGATTACTTAATGTTTTCAGTAAACATATGAAAAGTATAACTCAAGTGTGACTTACAAGCTACTATTATCCATACATTCATATAGCGCTTTTTAAAATGGACTTTTAAGCAATTTATCTGCCAGAGTCAATTTAGAATCATGCGTGCCTGATGGATACTTTAGAAGTATTAATAGATCACATATAAAGTCTGATTAGTCAACAAGCATAAGATTTGGATGAACTAGTGCAGGACTGTATTATCTACAGTGGCTAGCACAACAGTGACCCTGTAAAAGCTGGGGTACATCTAGTGTGTGTAGTGAATACTGCTCATGTATCATGGCTCTCTCTGTGTTACTGAAGCGGTCATGCATATTAACTTCAAAGTGTCTAAATGACAAAATGCTTGGGGAAGCCACCAAAGCTACGTATCGCATGTCTGAAAAAGGCTTTGAGTGTTATTAGTTTAATCAAATTGTCTGTAATTGTGACTTTGGTGGGGATCGGGATACATTTTATTAGCTGCTAATTTAGAAATCCTGGCAATTTCAAAAGAGGCTCGAACTTCTTCCTGCAACTGTATGTCCATGAGAACATTGATCTACTTCAAACTTGAGTGTTCAGGAGACAAAACTGACTGATTGTCTTCGTTAATGAATGAAGGTCACAGCAAACTACCTAAGCCTATTTAACCCTTCAGACAGAGTGGTCCTTGGACTGCTTCCTTGTGCAGAGAAGTGCATCCCCAGGAGAGGAGCGCTAGACTAAACACTCCATCCATTCAGCTGCTCCCCTTCTCCCCACCAACAAGAGACGGACGCCTGACAAGCACTCTCAGAGAAAAACCTCACTTTTTCCACCAATTATAGAAAGCAATGCGGAGTGGGGGAGGAGGCAAAACTTCAAAATATTATACACACTGGCATTTGGCGGAGCGCATTGAGCAACCTCTGTCAGAGAAAGATGGGCTAATTTCAGGGCACCCTGTGCCAACACAAACAACTGTTCTGGATTGCTTTCATTGTCAGCACTTGAGGTTTGAGTCACATTTTTTTCAGCGCTCCGCAGCCAATTTCTCTTTCCCCTATTTTTCCCCCCATATGATTTGTCCTTGTCCAAGATCCCAGTCAGTCTTTCATCGCCTGCACAGTCAGCGCTTAAAAAGTATTCTGGTAGAGAACAAACTCAGATCCAGATGCTCATCTACATATGCAAAACAAAAATATAATATTTTTTATTTTGGAACCCCCAGCATTTGCCTCCAAGAGCTCATGCACAAAAACTTATTGTAAGTGTAATGTAAACGTGTCTTTGAGGTGCTGTGTATTGTGATGTAGCCATTTGTTTGAAGGTTATGGCTGTCAGCTGGCGGCAGGAGTTTAACAGCTACTACTCGAGTCCCACAGTGCTGTGTGCTGGGATTCATATCGCAGCCATGTCAATGTAAACATCATATGTTACTGTTTGTGTCTCCAAAGCGGTATTTACTTTTACTTTGATTTTGTTTATTAAAGGCTTTTACTGTTCAACATAAAAGCAAGGAGCCATGGCAGGACATTTGGAGTACAGGCTGTAGCGTTACATTCACAGTCTACTCATAACTCTGACAGCTCACGCAAAGCTCAGGGTATGTGCCAGTCAAAGAGATGGGCAGCTCTATGCTGCCATTATAGAAAACCTCACACAGTGGGGGTCACATCCTCCGTGGCAAATCAAACACACCTATGCACGTCAGGACAGGAGCGTTTGTAGAGCGCGATATGTATATGTGAGCGGAGAGGGTAGATGCTGAGGTGGAAGCTGAATGGGCACTTTTGGAGGCCCCTGAACATGCATCCTATAACCAGGCAGCTGTCTTTAATATAAGAGTCCACTTCAACTCATATTTATTCAGGTACAGCTGACAGAGGAGACGACACGGTGAAAGAGGTGTGGCTTTTCTTTTTCCTGGCAGGCGTGCTGCGCTCCTGCGGTTTTTTTGGGGGGCAAAGGGACAAGACGAAAAAGACAGACACTCAGAAGGGGGGTGGGGGGTATGTGGTGCAGAAGAAAAGAGCAAGTTGACATAAAAAAGGCATGGCTCCACTCAGTCCTGTGTTGACTGGACATCCTGTGCAAAAGACGAGCCCTGGAGGCCCCGGGGCCACCAGGGAGGGGGGTGTGTGTGTATGAGCTCGATCCTCCAGTTTTACTTGATGGCTGTGTCCAAGACAAATTACCAGTGGAGCTGCTGTCACAGTGAGCCTTGACCAAGACAAACAGCCGTGTTTTAAAATAAGTACCTGCCCCCTTCACAGGCCCTTCTACCTCATCCACACTCAGGCACATCCACATCTCGTCACACATTAAAGCAAATTCCCTTCACAGGTCATAGGACTGGAGCTGTAGTCCGACGCTCTACACAGGGGACTCACTTTCCACTCTCTCAACGCTGTCTGCATTCTCTCTCTTGTGCACGCACACTTGTGAATATTTACCACATCGCAAGAGTTCCACTGTGGCCAAAAGGCCGGGACTCCAATAACAAAAGGTGAGTGTGTGTGACATAAAGCCTACAGCACATTTACGGGGCACCCTGTGGGCGTGTGTGTATACAGGCTTGATTGTCTATGTACATCGCAAAATCTCCAACTTAGCTGAATCACAAACTGCCAGCAGCGCAGAAATGTCAGCACTATTCCCTTCTTTTACTTAACAGCACATTGCATCTTGGGAATTGTGGTTTGTCTGTAGGGGGCTGTCTGTGTCGCTGCCTGCAGCCTGCACCAAAAGGGACTTGTGTTCTTCACTGAACTGAACAGAGCCTCATTTATCTCTGTGGCAGAGTCCTTCCTCTCCAGCATCGGTCCTCCTGGACCCCTGAACTGCTGACACTAGGGGAGGTGGGGCTGCTTTTCCTCCTTCCACTGAGCTCCAGCATGCAGCAAAAATTGTGAGATGTGTTTCATCTGCATATTGATTAGCCTGGCCAAAAGAAGTAGAACCTCAGCACTTCACTGAATACATAATGTAAACAAGCAGCAGTTATTCAGCTTAAACTCTCCTGAAACGTTTCACCTTCAGCTTGTGCTTTTCCAGGTGATTGTGCAACAAAAGTCAATGGCAACTTTTTCCTGAACAAAAAAGGAACAATAAAACTAGAAATCCTTTATCCTAAACACGCTGACATTATACTTTAATATGCACGTCTCAGCCAAATTAAAGTTACTGCTAGAGTGAAGCACTGAGCTTGCCCCTGAAATTAAAAAGCTATAACCCCACTTTGCTTCTATCACCCAATAAACACAGGCCGCCCTCAACGTGTGGGCAGGCTATAGTGCCAGCCAGTTGCAGTGCAGACGGCTGGGCGCTGGGTTGGCTGATAGATAGCTTACATTCGGTGAGGAGTGGACCAATGGCGTCGTGGATTGATTGGCCCAAAGGGGCCGTCGGGGGAAAGCACTTCCTGTGTGTTAATGGACGCTCCTGCAGATGCACTGTGGCGGCTTGTGGCAGGGTGATGGCTGTTATTCCCTTTCCCTCCTCCCTTCCCCACCCTCACTTTGCTTTCACTCTCCCAGTTAATCAGAAGAGAGTCAAGATTTTCCAAGCAGACCTCTCATCTGGCAGCTACTCGCTACACCTACAACAAAACCTTTTCAAACATAATAATTTAAATGAATTGCAAATACTTTTTCCTTCCCAAGATTTCCTGTAATTTCCTGTAACTGACATGGAACTATAAATTGATGGGATCATTCCTGAAAACATTTTTAATTCATTACTTCTATTTTAGAAACAATAATCCAGCAGTATTCTGTGTATAAACTGGTAATAAAGTCCTCTTGTATATTTGAACAATTTTGACTATGACATAACTTTATCTTTATTCATACCATACGGCCATATTGCTTAATGCTTTCCAGGAAATTTCTCAAGAACTTAAAGAAAATCCACATTTTCAGAGTTCTTGAGACTAAATGAGACTGAGTAAATAACTGTACCCGAGTCTGCCCAGCTGCTCCAGTTCAGGCACCGGGGGTCCATAGGTTTCAACTTGGAGGGGTCTGTAGTGGTAAAGAACATCCTCTATCTTGGTAACAGGCTGGAGAGACACCGTCTGTCGCTGAAAGAAAAACACAAAAGAGGCACGTCATTCAAGACGGGAAATAATCGTCATTGTCTCGGCGCATCGTGCAACCCTGGAAACTTTATGGCTATGGCGCAAACACACAAAAATTGTTTGGAATACGGTTAAAGTCAATCAGTCCGCAGCATTAGCACCCACTGGTTCTTGACAGACTGGTTTGGAAATAGAAGTTCTGTCTGACAACATTTTCACTTTCCCCCGGCAACGGCGGTTTGGAGGAGAAACTGAGGCAGGACAGTGACTGAACATGTTTTTAGCAGTCAAATAGTTTTGGAAACTGAACAGGACACACACAAAAAAAAAAAAAAAAAAAAAAAAAAAGGGATGAGAACATCGTTCAGGAAAATTGTGGTCGGCCGAAATGCAATTCCTGATAACAAAGCAAGTGTACTTTGGTTCAAAAATGGCTATTGGCTTGCTCCATAAAACCACCAAAGAGAAATCGGCTGATAATGTATAAATGTAGTGTGGAGGAAATGCTTTGTTTGTGGGTTGAGTTGTGATTATTTTAGCGTGGTTTCACCTAAAACTATGTCCGTCAAAGCTGCCTCCGACTGAAATATGTTCAAATTACAAACGCTTGTAAATCTTATAAAAGTTGTTTAATTTTTTTTTTTTAATCCAATCAATAATTACTCTGAGCTGAAATTTCAGTCAGACTATTCCAGTTCCTAATGCTCTTGACCGTGCAGATCGAGTAAGAAATACGAGACTTCTTCGGGATACTGCAGCATTGTTCGATTTGGGGCTCTGCCATCAAAGGGGAATTTCCACACAGCATCCGACCGCTATGTTTTCTCCAGCATTAAAGTAATGAGACTCATAAGACAAGCCTGATTCATGAAACAAACCTGGAATTAAAAAGGATGATGTTTAAACAAACATGAACTATTTTAGAGTGCAGCGAAGGACCTCAGAGACAAAGGAGAGATAAAAAGATAAGAGAGAAAGCCAAGAAGAAAAAAAAAAAAGTAGTGGGGGGAGTATAAACAACAGAACACAGAGGGGAGTCGATGAAAACCAAACTAAACGAGTAACATGTGCCCTGCGGCCTCACACTGCCTGCCTTCACACATGCTTTGACCCATATGAGCGCAGACACGGGGGAAATAGAGCAACCAAAACCTGAGCTGGAAGTTACAAAAGCACCAAAGACATGAGATGACAACACATGCAGAGTTTCCTTCCAGGTCCCAATAAAGGTGCTTTCATATGTGCACTTTTCCCCCCATTAATCTGACAGCATCTGAACTGGTCCGCTTCATGTCTGAATGACAAACCTATCAGATTCAACAGTGCAAGTCTGAACTGCATGCAGTCACATTAACAGACAGGCATGCACAAGATTATGTCTTTTAGCTTAAGAAAGACGCAACCAAAAGAATTTGAGAATCTGTACATGCTTTTGGAGATGCAGCAGCCTCAACGCAACTTTTACACAGAAATTCTGAATAAAGAGGTTTTTGATATTTCCCCACCTCATCATCTTGGCACAGATAAACAGGATGTTGTCGCGCGCCTAAATGCTGAAAACGGACAACTCAGAGCAGTGCAGAACGATAAATGCAACCCTACTGAAAGATGTTCACCAAAAAGAAAAGTAGGAGAGATAAGTAACAACAGTTATTGAAATACAGAAAGACAGCAGATGAGTACAACATTGCATGAGAGCATTAAAATAAACTTCAGCTTTATTTATCTATTTTTCAAGATTCAAGAAGTTTGTCGTTTTGCATATTATTATTATACTTCTTCTTTTCATTATTATCATCATCATAATCATTATCACTATTATTATGCTATATCTCATCAGCATCATGTTTTCTAGGACAAAAATACTTGGCCACATTCACATTACACCTAAAGGATTTGCTCGGCCATGAAGCTCACACTCCAGTTTCTGTGCTGATGTTAATGGCAGAGGAGGTTTAAGCTCTGCATATACAGTGGGGCAAAAAAGTAATTAGTCAGCCACCGATTGTGCAAGTTCCCCCACCTAAAATGATGACAGAGGTCAGTAATTTGCACCAGAGGTACACTTCAACTGTGAGAGACAGAATGTGAAAAAAAAATACATGAATCCACATGGTAGGATTTGTAAAGAATTTATTCGTAAATCAGGGTGGAAAATAAGTATTTGGTCAATAACAAAAATACAACTCAATACTTTGTAACATAACCTTTGTTGGCAATAACAGAGGTCAAACGTTTACTATAGGTCTTTACCAGGTTTGCACACACAGTAGCTGGTATTTTGGCCCATTCCTCCATGCAGATCTTCTCGAGAGCAGTGATGTTTTGGGGCTGTCGCCGAGCAACACGGACTTTCAACTCCCGCCACAGATTTTCTATGGGGTTGAGGTCTGGAGACTGGCTAGGCCACTCCAGGACTTTCAAATGCTTCTTACGGAGCCACTCCTTTGTTGCCCGGGCGGTGTGTTTTGGATCATTGTCATGTTGGAAGACCCAGCCTCGTTTCATCTTCAAAGTTCTCACTGATGGAAGGAGGTTTTGGCTCAAAATCTCACGATACATGGCCCCATTCATTCTGTCCTTAACACGGATCAGTCGTCCTGTCCCCTTGGCAGAAAAACAGCCCCATAGCATGATGTTTCCACCCCCATGCTTCACAGTAGGTATGGTGTTCTTGGGATGCCACTCAGTATTCTTCTTCCTCCAAACACGACGAGTTGAGTTTATACCAAAAAGTTCTACTTTGGTTTCATCTGACCACATGACATTCTCCCAATCCTCTGCTGTATCATCCATGTGCTCTCTGGCAAACTTCAGACGGGCCTGGACATGCACTGGCTTCAGCAACGGAACACGTCTGGCACTGCGGGATTTGATTCCCTGCCGTTGTAGTGTGTTACTGATGGTGACCTTTGTTACTTTGGTCCCAGCTCTCTGCAGGTCATTCACCAGGTCCCCCCGTGTGGTTCTGGGATCTTTGCTCACCGTTCTCATGATCATTTTGACCCCACGGGATGAGATCTTGCGTGGAGCCCCAGATCGAGGGAGATTATCAGTGGTCTTGTATGTCTTCCATTTTCTGATGATTGCTCCCACAGTTGATTTTTTCACACCAAGCTGCTTGCCTATTGTAGATTCACTCTTCCCAGTCTGGTGCAGGTCTACGATACTTTTCCTGGTGTCCTTCGAAAGCTCTTTGGTCTTGGCCATGGCGGAGTTTGGAGTCTGACTGTTTGAGGCTGTGGACAGGTGTCTTTTATACAGATGATGAGTTCAAACAGGTGCCATTCATACAGGTAACGAGTGGGGGACAGAAAAGCTTCTTGCAGAAGACGTTACAGGTCTGTGAGAGCCAGAGATTCTCCTTGTTTGAGGTGACCAAATACTTATTTTCCACCCTGATTTACGAATAAATTCTTTACAAATCCTACCATGTGAATTCATGGATTTTTTTTCACATTCTGTCTCTCACAGTTGAAGTGTACCTCTGGTGCAAATTACTGACCTCTGTCATCATTTTAAGTGGGGGAACTTGCACAATCGGTGGCTGACTAAATACTTTTTTGCCCCACTGTAGTTGCATATAGTTAGCACAGCATTGGCTTCTTTTTACGTACTTTTACACACATGTGGCAATGGGACTGAAAAAGGAAGAGGTGTGGACCAAGACTTTTGTCTACGTAGTGTATTTTGCATTTTATTTTTTAAATTCCCTGCAACTTATTATAAAATACACTTCAAAAATAAATATATCTATCCTGACAATTATTTAACCACCATTCATTCACCTCCGACCACATTAGGCCAGCATCATTTTTCCCTTACGATCCATAAAATAATCCAGATATTGAATTCATTATGGGCTAATTTAATAAAATAAAAACAACCCCACCCCCCACCCCATATTACATTTACCTATAGGAAGTTAAACAGATGGATCTCATCTGTTTCACAAAATCCTGCTTCCCAGAATAACTTTCAATTATTTTAACAGAACGAGTCTAAACCTGTTGCATTCAGCTGTGGTTTACACATGAAGGTGTGGGTGGCAACAGGGATAACGGCAGTTGCAGCACATTAAAGGCAATAAAACAGCAATAAATTTTTTAAAAGTGGGTTTTTCCACAGAAGAAATTATGAAAACTAAATATCAAATCACACCAAAACATTTCCTTATGATGTCACTGTCAGTTAAACGATATTTTTCTCTTCTTTCATCAAGGGATGCCAAAAAACTGCTGGGTATCTGTTCTTGGCCAGATTGTCAACTGTAAATTCCTAATATATGCAAGTAAATTAGAAAAAACAATATAATATATTTGCATTGCTAGTGTATAAACGCTGTTTCCTTTAAAGCACTAGGCACACACTTCTCCATGGTTTTCATTCAACCTTGTACCCTGAGGTACCAGTGCTCTGTTATACCATCCTATCCATTCATCCAACGCAGAGGAGCCCCACCACAGGCTAATGAAATCCAGACCAATGAACGCAATCCCAGTCACTCTCTTTTGCACTCTTTCAGACTGTTCATCCATCTTCTTTCAAACTTTCAGCACTGCTTAACTCCCCTACTGCGCACTCAATGAGATGCACTGGGACAAAGGGAAGGTGGAAGGAGAAGCAGAAGAAGAAAACTCCTCAGTGGTGGTGTGGTAAAGAAAGAGCAGCAAATTGGCAGTTGCAGATGGCTGAAGAGCAGTAAATCAGACCACCTTTTTTTTTTTTTTTTTTTTTAAGTGGCAGACACAACAGACCCAGCCCCCATTCTGGGGAAATTTCTTCTACATTCCTCTGCAAGGGCACCTTGAAAACTGGCACAGATGCATCAGCACCCACAAAAGCAGCCTTTAAAGATGTCCACGCAAACATAGCGACTTCTAATTATATTTACAGAAATGTGTAAATGAATGACTTGTAGTACATACAAAATGCTTTGAAAGAGAAAAAAAAAAACTGAATGAATGCCCATAATGTAGAGCTGTGACCCCTCAGGACTGATT